CTCCATCACCCAGTATTCAGTTGTTCGCGACACCCTGATTAAGTGTACATTTTTTACAAACTAGTTTGGAAACTTTTAGTCTTACTGAGACAATAATTAGTATTGGTACTCGTACTCGTACTCCTACTCGAGAAAGTCCGTACTTGCTCAGCTCTGAAAGGGCATGTTGTTTTCATGTTTTCCAGCCGATGATGTTACTGAACTGTTTTGTTAATTTCTCTTTGTTTCTTCATACACATAAAGATAATACATGAATGATTATATTCAACTAGATGCAAATGTTATTGTTCAAAATAAACAACTTACATATTGAATTCATTGGTAGTATTAGCTCTCATTTTTGCAGATTAGATTGAATAAAAACAGAATGAAGATTTCAATTTTCGGATGATGACTGTATCAATGACGTAGATTTACCTTAAGAAACATAAATTGTAATGCACTCCAGCACTGATTTTAATGAATTATTTTCGAAAAGATTGCATATGTATTTTTTTTATTTTTTAATTATATGAAGAAATCAAAATATTTTTTTCTCCGGCTCGCATACGCCCATGTGAAATTTTGCTTTCATGGTACAACACAAACAAAACAAAAAAAAGCAATCAATATCTATTGAATTTTTCATCTAACGTATATTTTTGTTAAACAACGGCATCCATGTCAATGCCTATAAGAGTTGTTTGGCTCGATAAGAACAAAGATTCAACAGTACTCAAACGTCTTCGTAAAATAGTACCAGATTTGAGTACCTATTCAAGCATAGTCGATTGTGTGGATAGCATTTGCTCAATATCTTCCGCACATAATAATGTGGTACTGATTATTTCTGGCTCGTTCGACAGCCAAACAGCCGAGTTAATTGATATTTTACCGCAATTGCGAGTCATTTATATCTATTGTTGTGACGCAAGTGAACATATCACGTGGACAACTCAACGTGGTAAAATTGGAGTCGATGAGATATTCGATCAAGAAAATGATCTAATTGTGCGACTTACTACTGAACTGAACGAAACAACAACTGAGGTAGAAATAGTGATCATTTGCATATATTTCACTTCGTATTATTTTCAAATGTTAATAGTCAAATATATAAATGTAAAGGTTGGTCAGATTCAAACAGAATCTGATAAAATCGGATGGCATCTTTTATAGATTTGAGAGATGAAGCATTTTTCACATCAAAAAGATATTTTACGAGAAATTACTTATTAAATCAGAATTCGATTTGTTACAAGTATCAATCAGTTGGAATAAAAAGTCAATATTTTCGTTTCATTTCATTTCATTCCATCAAAAAGAAGCACTTCAGCGCAATTTTTGATCAAAATTATAAAATGAAAAACTCCCAAACAGCTTTTACCATAAATCAGAACTATAATACTTATCATTGCCTGTGATCAAAAGAAATATGCAGCACTTCTAAACATATGTCACAATCAATCAAACACATTAAAAGATATATTATGTTTGATAATAGCATTGCTTTTATTTAGACATCGCCATTCAACACCATGGAAAATGAAACTGACATTATCAAGAGAGACAAAATGCTGGTGTTCAGTATATTTACTAAAAATATTGAAAATAACTCAGCACGAGATTTAATTGAAGAAAAAACTACTTTTATTTGGCTTCAAATATTAACCAATGTTCTCATTAATATGCCAAAATTGGAGAAAGAAGCACAAAATGAATTGATTTCTCTATGCCGTCGAGAATACAAGAAAGATAAACAACAGATCAAATTAATTGAAGAATTTTCAAATAAATACACAGCGAGTGAAGCAATTCGTTGGTTCACACGAAATGTATGTTTCTATAAATTACTCAATCAAGCATTAAGAACGCAAGATTTTTATATTATTTTCAAGTTTCGCTCGTTTATTACCGATGTCCATCAACAACTAAATGATTTGTTTACACCTATAGCCGACAGTTCACTCTCATTTCGTGTGTATCGTGGTCAACTCGTGGCTATATCTGAAATGGAAAAACTACGTGTCAATATGGGAGGAATTATTTCTATGAATAGTTTTGTGTCAACATCAAGAGATGAATTTTGTTTTATGCGAGATGTAGTGTCAGAACCAGGCTTTGCCATTGTTCTATTCGATATGGTGATAGATACCCGCATTGCGCAAGCAGCAGGTACGCCTTTTGCAAATATCCAAGAACATAGCTGCATTCCTGATGAAGAAGAAATATTATTGAGTATGGGTACAATGTTTCGGATCGATTCAATCACAGAAGAAATATTCGATTCATCGAATGTATGGCGCATCAAACTGGTTATGTGTACAATTGATGATGATCCACAAGTAAGCATATACAAACTGTGTGTCGAGCTCAATGTGTTTTTTCTCGAGGATTCTTTTTTCGAAAGAGAAGCTATCGCAGAAATACAACTCTAAGTCTCATTCAGTAAATTCTAAATGTATGTAAAATCCCATTTACTTCACTTCATTTTCGATATTTAGATCAAAATGTTGGTCGACTATGTCAAAGACAATATATGTTCTCATGGCACAATGACTTTCTCCACTTATGGAAAATTACTTGCCTGCATGTCACATTTTGACAGTTCAGTTGTCTATCATTGCCAACTGCTTAATCAATTACCATCGGATCATAAGGATTTACCGATAATTCACAACGACCTAGCGTATGCATATCGTGAATCAAACCGTTTTTCCATTGCACTTGAACATTATAATATTGCACTTTTGTTGCAAGAAAAGCAAGTACCCCGTGATGATGTCAATATTGCAATGACATATAGTGATCTTGGATGGTTGTTAATGCAAATGAAAGATCTGGAAAAGTCTCTCGAATTTCATCAGAAAGCTTTAGTCATTCGAGAACAACACTTGGGCAATAACCATGTCGATACAGCAATATCATATGATTATCTGGGTCTTTGCTATTTGAAAACAAATGATTTCAACATAGCGCTCTTCTATCTTCAAGAAGCTCTAGCTATCAGGAAGCGTTGTTTACCTGCTCGTCATCCCTATATAGCTATGTCGTACTGTTCGATGGGTTCCTATTTTAGTGCCCGCAAGGATCATTCAGAAGCATTACACATGTACGAACAAACTATTTCTATTTACAAGAGTTCAATGCCACCAACCCACAAAACTCTAGCACTAACACATTCATCACTTGCCACAAGCTATGTGGAGACAGGCCAATGGGAAAAGGCAATTCAAAATTTAAAAACTGCTTTGGAAATTTGTCCGAAGAATGATTTTCATAATCAAGCAATCTCTCTCAATACTCTTGGCTTTGTTTATTACAAACTACGTGATTACAAACAAGCGTTAGCATTTTACGACAAGGCATTACAATTAACTCGAAAAGACAAGAACACTTCAATAGCAGCGTCGATTGAAAAAAATATAAAAAATCTGCATGTACGAGAGTTAGCTGAATTTCAAGACTGCTGTGTAATGTGAAGAGTCACATACTTTCGTTTTCTTTTTTGAAAAAAAATTCATACACAACACGAAATAATCAAGAAGCACAAAGGAGGGGGACACTTTGTACACAAAACGGCCCTAAATGAAAATCAGTTCTCACTACGATTTCACGCTGTACTGTGTGTGAGTACAGGATTCTGAGCTTTTACAGGACATTTTCTAAAGATTTTAGTCTCCGTCTACAAACAGTAGATCTCTACAATAGAACATACATTGCCGCGACTGTTGTAGCAGCCAGCAACACATTATACGGATCCGCTAATAACCTGCAGATAGAGCTTTTCAAAGCCTGCAAAATGATCATAAAACATCCAGTAAAATATGCTGTGCTCGACAATTTCTAAACAGCATACTGTCGAAATTTTATGGAAAGACGAATGTATGGCAAAGTGTGGTGCTTATGATCTCCAGTACTGGGTGTGGTGTGGGTGTAGGTGTGCACTGTAAATAAATTCGTAGAATAATAAGCCCAAATAGGGTTGATGAAAGTGCAACGTATAATAAACCCTTTTTTCCGTATGTGAAATTGCCATAAACCCTTTAATAAACCCTTTTAAATACGTTTTTTACTAAGACAAACATCTAAAGGTTATTTTTAAAAAAGTATTTCAGCTGTTACACAAGCATTATTTTGCTACTATTTCAATTCAGTTTCCGTTTCAGATCGTATATATATATATATATACTTTCATAGATTTATAATTAATTAACTGACGTGGGTGTGGATGTGGGTGTCATTTTTAAAAATGTAACACCCACACCCTAGAACACAAAAGAGAACGAACAAAATTTGTTCCAGCAAAGAAACAGAAAGAATATTTCTAATAGAACAGAAGAAGAAAAAAACAAATATAATAACACTTCATCTGTGCTATAGCAGTCGAGAGTTTGGATTCGGAATCAACAATATAAGTTGAGTTGCTATGGCGAACAAGCATCGTTTTATATTGATCGATGTTTGTGTTTCGACAAGTAGTAAGCAGATGAAAATGTGTGTATTAGCATAAGGAGAATGGCGACTTCTAAAATCATTATGAAAAGACATAACGTTATGGTAACGATGAAAGAACGAAAAAGTGATGTCGTAATGAAGTGAGAGAGCTCAGGCATAACATGCGAGCGTGTTCGTATGTGAAGGTTTATTTAACGTGGATGTCTTCGTTGTATGAGTTTCATACGTGTCACTTCAATACCAGTAGTCGTTTATCCGTTAAACCACTTCATTATTCGCCGTTAAGTTTTCCAGGTATGGGAGCATAACTTTCGTCATCATACTCTTGAATTCAATATTCATCTATACGATTATTAGAAATTCAAACGAACCATATTTCAACATCAGTTACATAATTCGAGTTCGGATATAAATAGAATTCGAGAATCACGTCACCAATTAGAAAAAGACGATGAGTTTAATACTGACATCAGATAGAAACATTCGAGTTTGAATGAGCGCTATTCGAAAACTGACAATTTGATAGTAATTCTTACAAAAGTTAATGATCTCCGTTTGATTCTGACAAGATTTTTTTCCACGTTCAACATAATCAGAGTAGAGTGTTGACTGGAAAAAAATAGTGTACTTCTAACAAGAACCATGCACATCTAAATTTGACTGATGAAGTAAGAATAACCTTATCAGAAACGATTCTTCTATTCTGAACTTTTAGTTCGTTTCTAAATTCTTTTTTCATTCTTTCTTGATTTTTTTCTTCTTAATGTTTTTTCAAGATTCTTATTTTTCTGTTTTCAGGTAGGATTCTTTCATTGTTTTTCATTCTAATTCTCGTTTCTCTTTATTGGCTCCTAATAAAGACGAATACTCAGATAGTTTTGTTCCGTACAATTATTCTTTATTCTTTTCATTTCCTACCAATATCGCAAAATTGACTTTTTCAGAACTGGAGAGTGCTGCTAGGTGTCAGTAGTCGCCACCCTAGTCGAACATCTTGTAAGCAAGATCTTTAAATATCGGGATCGGTGAGCAAGATCTTATCGAGATCTTGGAAAGATAAGTTGTATGCACATATCTTGGCTGTATCAGATAAATCTGTACTTAAGATCTTGGCAAGATCTTGGAAAAAATATCGTGTACTATTATCTTCTGATAAGATCTTGAACGAAAGAGAAAGCGACATCATTCGTGTATTTACATGCTCACTAGTCATTCACCATTTTTCAATGCATGCACAGCTGTAACGGGTGATCGAAAAGTTTTCGCACAAGATTGAAATTCATATTTCTCTTGTTCTACTCATGCTTTGTTTCTGTTTTTTTTTACACAAAATACACACACTGTGGACCTCTAAAGTTGCTTAATAAAATTATCAAAAATGGTTCTTTTATCTCAATGTTCTCCTAGAGTTATTCGAAGGTCCTTTTTTTTCGTTTGGACAAGATGAATGTTAAATGGAGACTGGACTCTTCGCATAAAATGCTGATTTTCTTTGTCCAGTTTATAGAGCACATAAAACTGCATATAACCTGAAATTTTCTCGGTTGGCCAATATTTTTTGGCGTTGCTATGACTTTCACAAGTTATCCAATCGTTTTAGGTCGCCAAGCAGCATGTAATTTTGAAAAATTTTAGCATCCAAATTTTTATCCCAATCTTTTCATGGTTTGATAGAGGAACAAAAATTATGCATACTGTAAAGTTTTCGCGGTGATTGGATAATGATTTGCTGAGAAATGCT